AGAGCAGTGGTTGCCAGCTTCCTAGCTTACCATCACCAGTCCGGAGCACGGAGGACGTGAGTGGACAGCGAGGTTCACTGCTGAGGTTATGGACCTGACAGTTTCTCTACTCTGACCTGCTCCTTCCTCCACTCTTCTAATCATCTGACCATTAATGCTTCCTCCGATCCCAATGCCATTAGATCTGCTTCAACACCCTGATCATCCATCATCCCTTGAAGTTCCATTACTCTCACAATGTATTGATTTGTTGTTGTTTGTACTTGTATATGCTCTTCAACTTTTATCTGCCATGTATGCAAAATAAAAGGAAACAAACTAAAGTTAAATGTACCTCACCCATTTTGTAACAACAGCAGTGAACCAGGTTTAGTGTATTTTACCTGCTGTTGGACTACAAAAGGTTATTCTGTTTCGGGTGTCAGTTGGGGATTTGGAGACAATATGGATGGCAGGGCAACCACTGGTCTATTTTGTATTTGCCACATGCAGCACATTGTATAAATACCATTTAGTGAATGAAAAAAAGTTGTTGTTGAAGCCACTGCATTTTTTTCACAAGCCAACCATAATTCTTAGTAATGTCAGCTATAGTGTATTCAAGAGACCGCAGTGAAGAGAAGATCAAAGTGGAGCACAGGAAAGACTGAGGGGTATTTTGGGGTTGTGAAACTGCTACTTCACATAAGAGGTGGTCCTACAGTGAGCTTTTACATAAAACGACACCCTAACACCCTCTGTACCTCTTTCCTTCTGTCAACAGTTGCCGTCTCAATCTTCCTCTAACAATAATGCACAAAAAATATATGTGAAATGCAATCTTTATTATTCTTTCACTGTTTTTTTTTTTCCAACTCAATTAGTATATTAACTTGCATGAATACAGACAGAGCGCTCACATTCTTTGTGTGTGTTTAATTAATAAGCCATCATTGATTGGTGACTGTATTTGTTATTCTGTAAATCACCATTGGATCCCTGAAAGACCTATACAGAGACATTGTCAATGTTAAAAGAGAAATTAAAGAATACAGACTTCTGCGCCATCATCAATCCTCAACTTCAATTAATCCTAATGGCATTCCTGCAAACCCCCCAATTTTCTGGCACATTTTTCTCCCATTAACGTAAAAACATCTGTGCAAACAAGCAGAGAAAATAGCAGCACCCTTCCCTGAATTCCGTCATGACCTCATTGAGCACATGTGTAGACCTCATCCGCTAGCCACTACCCTCTCATCCCTCTCTCTGATGCATTTTTCATCAATGAACACTCCGTGCGGCCAAGAGGATCATTTTTCATGAATGAAATCCCCAAAATTAGAGTATTATTTCTTTCTGAATGAGCTTCATACAATGTTACCGAGTTAAACTGTGTGGTCGCAAAATGAAACAGGCTGACGTAACTTGCACAGGAAATGTGAAAATACCTAAACATTATGTTCTATTTCCTCAAGATATAACTCTTTCTCTATCACACATCACCTCTTCCCTCTCTATCGCCAACTATCTCTCTCAGATGAGACAAATGGCGCCAGAGGAGATGGCTGTCGTTTTACGGGCTCCTAACCAATTCTGCTATTTTGTGTGTTTTTTTGCGTTGTTTGTAACTTATTTTGTACATAATGTTTCTGCCACCATCTCTTATGACCGAAAATAGCTTCTGGATATCAGAACAGCGATTACTCACCTCGAACTGGACCAAGTTTTTTCTTTAACGAGTCGGACGCGAAGGATTTACTCCAGATACCCGGCCAGGCCCAAATCCCCGTCCTTCGCATGAAGAGAAGACGCCGATACAGGGGATGTAGGTCTGGGTACCTTGTGAGAATTAGTCGGCGAGTGGGTAACCTGCCTCTACCATCCGTCCTATTGGCCAACATGCAATCATTGGAGAATAAACTGGATGAAATCCGTTCAAGACTATCCTACCAACGGGACATTAAAAATCTTATGTTTTACAGAGTCGTGGCTGAACGACGACATGGATAATATACAGTTGGCTTGTTTTTCCGTGCATCGGCAAGACAGAACAGCTGCCTCCGGTAAGACAAGGGGTGGTGGTTAGGGTTAGGGTTAGGTTCTGTGTCTACAGTTTGAGGGTCTGTGTCTACTTGTCAACAACAGCTGGTGCGCAAAAATCAAATAGTCTCTAGGTTTTGCTTGCCTGAGGTGGAGTATCTCATGATAAACTGTAGACCACACTATTTACCAAGAGAGTTTTCATCTATATTTTTCGTAGCTGTCTATTTACCACCACAAACCGATGCTGGCACTAAGACCACACTCAACATGCTGTAGAAAGCCATAAGCAAACAAGAAAATGCTAATCCAGAGGCGGCGCTCCTAGTGGCCGGGAAACTTAAATCAGTTTTACCTCATTTCTACCAGCATGTTACATCTGCAACAAGAGGGAAAAAACTCTAAACCACCTTTACTCCACACACAGAGAAGCATACAATGCTCTCCCTCGCCCTCCATTTGGCAAATCTGACCATAATTCTATCCCCCTGATTCTTGCTTACAAGCAAAAACTAAAGCAGGAGATACCAGTGACGCGCTCAATACGGAAGTGGTCAGATGACGCAGATGCTAAGCTACAGGACTGTTTTGCTAACACAGACTGGAATATGTTCCGGAACTCATCCGATGGCATTGAGGAGTATACCACATTAGTCACCGGCTTCATCAACAAGTGCATCGATGACGTTGTCCCCACAGGGACCGTACGTACATACCCCAACCAGAAGCAATGGATTACAGGCAACATCTGCACTGAGCTAAAGGGTAGAGCTGCCGCTTTCAATGAGCGGAACGCTTATAAGAAATCCCGCTATGCCCTCAGACGAACCATCAAACAGGCAAAGTGTAAATACAGGACTAAGATTGAATTCTACTACACCGGCTCCGACACTTGTCGGATGAGTCAGGGTTTGCAAACTATTACAGACTACAAAGGGAAGTCCAGCCACGAGCTGCCCAGTGACACAAACCTACCAGACTTCAATGCGCGCTTCGAGGCAAGCAACACTGAAGCATGCATGAGATCACCAGCTGTTCCATACGAATGTGTGATCACGCTCGCCGATGTGAGAAAGACCTTTAACCTCTACTGGATCGGTGTCCCGTAATCGGGACAGTTGTTGCTCAATACGGACAATGTGACTAGAATGACATTGTATACAAAAGCAAACTTTCCCGAGCATAGACATATCTTATATGGGCAGAAAGCTTAAATTATTGTCAATCTAACTGCAGTGTCCAATTTACAGTAGCTATTACAGCGAAAAAATACCATGCTATTGTTTGAGGATAGTGCACAAAAAAACAGGTTTGATACATTCACAGCTTGGAAAATTCCAGAAAATGATGTCATGGCTTTAGAAGCTTCTGATAGGCTAATTGACATCATTTGAGTCAATTGGAGGTGTACCTGTGGATGTATTTCAAGGCCTACCTTCAAACTCAGTGTCTCTTTGCTTGACATCATGGGAAAATCCAAAGACATCAGCCAAGACCTACCATTGTAGACCTCCACAAGTCTGGTTCATCCTTGGGAGCAATTTCTAAACGCCTGAAGGTACCACATTCATCTGTACAAACAATAGTAAGTATAAACACCATGGGACCATGCAGCCGTAATACCGCTCAGGAAGGAGACGCATTCTGTCTCCTAGATGAACGTATTTTGGTGCGAAAAGTGCAAATCAATCCCAGAACAACAGCAAAGGACCTGGAGGAAACAGGTACAAAAGTATCTATATCACAGTAAAACGAGTCCTATATCGACACAACCTGAAAGGCCACTCAGCAAGGAAGAAGCCACTGCTCCAAAACCGCCATAAAACAGCCAGACTACGGTTTGCAACTGCACATGGGGACAAAGATCGTACTTTTTGGAGAAATGTCATCTGGTCTGATGAAACAAAAATAGAACTGTTTGGCCATAATGACCATCGTTATGTTTGGAGGAAAAAGGGGGACGCTTGCAAGCCGAAGAACACCATCCCAACTGTGAAGCCCTGGGGTGGCAGCATCATGCTGTGGGGGTGCTTTGCTGCAGGAGGGACTGGTGCACTTCACAAAAATAGATGGCATCATGAGGAAGGAAAATTATGTGGATATATTGAAGCAACATCTCAAGACATCAGTCAGGAAGTTAAAGCTTGGTCGCAAATGGGTCTTCCAAATGGACAATGACCCCAAGCATACTTCCAAGGTTGTGGCAAAATGGCTTAAGGACAACAAAGTCAAGGTATTGGAGTGGCGATCACAAAGCTCTGACCTCAATACTATAGAACATTTGTGGGCAGAACTGAAAAAGCGTGTGCGAGCAAGAAGGCCTACAAACCGGACTCAGTTACACCAGCTCTGTCAGGAGGAATGGGCCAAAATTCACCCAACTTATTGTGGGAAGCTTGTGGAAGGCTCCCTGAAACGTTTGACCCAAGTTAAACAATTTAAAGCCAATGCTAACACATACTAATTGAGTGTATGTAACTTCTGACCACTGGGAATGTTATGAAAGAAATAAAAGCTGAAATAAATCATTATCTCTACTATTATTCTGACATTTCACATTCTTAAAATAAACTGGTGATCCAACTGACCTAAAACAGGGAATTTTTACAAGGATTAAATGTCAGGAATTGTGAAAAACTGAGTTTAAATGTATTTGGCTAAGGTGTATGTAAACTTCTGACTTCAACTGTTTATAGATATGTGTTGTTTATTTGATGTATTGATGAAGGGCTCATCCGATTCGTAAAGATGACCTGCTCTTTGTAAAGTGGATGGATACCAGAGAGGTGCTCATGTGCATCACTATCCACAAATCTTACAGTGGCGATCACGTCAGCAGGTGTGTGAAGGACGCTAATGGGGCATGGACCAAGAAGAAAATCCCCATTCCAGCTGCTGTAAAGGATTCCAACAAGAGCATGGGAGGTGTGGACCTGTCAGACGCGCTGATCGGCTACTACAATGTTCTCCACAAGACAATGAAATGGTACAAGACATTATTCTATCACTTCATCGACATTGCTGTGGTGAATGCATTCATCCTCCAGAAGGAAATGGTTAAGAACTGTGGACAGACCCCCATGACACAGGTTGCCTTCAGAGAGCTGATCATCCAAGAGCTTGCTGACTATGGCACAAAGTCCACTGCAGCACCTTCTGTCCCCTCTACTTCTGTCCACTCTACTCCTGCCACCAGTGGTGTTCACCTGCCAAAATACATAACTGCAGACATGAATGTGCCTCAGGGCCAAAGGGGCACAGCAGGAGGCGTCGTTGTAATCTGTGTCACGAGAAAACTCCCATCACCTGCGCTACTTGTTCTGTTACCCTCTGCTTTACAGCAGAAAGAGACTGCTATGGGACTTGGCATCAGCAGCACAATCTTGTGTAGAGGACTGATAGTGTTCTAAATAATGCAATTGTAAATAGTGTGTAAATAGTATATATCAATGTTTTATTTTTTTCACTTTGTGTGTGGTTTGTGGTGTGTTCACTTATGCCATTAGATCAGTGTTGGCTGCTAACTTGGCCCTTATCTTAAATAGTTCACTTCTGTGTTGGGAGGCATTGGATCAGCATTCTCGTTGCGTCTCCTGTTAGTACCTTTTATGTAGGGAAGCTAATGATCTATCATATATGACATTCCTAGGAGTGTGTAAACTTGTATTTTTTATTACCATAGCATTTTTGCATGTTCTCTATAGTTATGTACTTGAAAATGTATCAATTTACCAATTCGGCCACTTGGAGGCCACTTGGGTAGATTTGGGCAAACTCGTGAGGGACACTGGGTGACTTCATACTAAATGTTATGTAGCTCCCGCATTCTTCAAGGTATCAGTCAGAATCTTTGCACATACACTATTGCCCTCTTGTAGACAACATCTAAATGACCTCCAGCTTCCTATCTGAATGTATGGATTTTCTTTTTCATGTCAAAGATGATAAAATAAAAATAGAAAACGTATGTTTTTTTGTTTGTTTTATCTTTTACCAGAACTATTGTGTTAAGTTCTCCTACATTAATTTCACATTTCCACAAACTTCAAAGTTAGATTTGGGTATGTCATTTTAGGCAGAAATGTAAAAGGGTCTGATCCTTAAGCGGTTAAACAGGTCAACATTCACAAGGCCGCAGGGCCAGACGGATTGCCAGGACATGCACTCCGAGCATGCGCTGACCAACTGGCAAGTGTCTTCACTGTACTCCCTGTTCACCCATGACTGCGTGGCCGAGCACAACTGCAAAACCATAATTAAGTTTGCCGACGACACAACGGTGGTAGGCCTGATCACCTACAACGATGAGACAGCCTATAGGGAGGAGGTCAGAGACCTGGCCGTGTGGTGCCAGGACAACAACCTCTCCCTCAACGTGATCAAGACAAAGGAGATGATCATAGACTACAGGAAAAGGAGGGCCGAGAGCTTCAAGTTCCTTGGTGTCCACATCACCAACAAACTATCATGGTCCAAACACACCAAGACAGTCGTGAAGTGGGCACGACAACGCCTATTCCCCCTCAGGAGACTGAAAAGATTTGGCATGGGTCCTCAGATCCTCAAAAAGTTATACAGCTGCACCATCGAGAGCTTCCTAACTGGTTGCATCACCTCCTGGTATGGCAACTGCTCGGCCTGCGACCGCAAGGCGCTACAGAGCGTAGTGCGTACGGCCCAGTACATCACTCCCTACCATCCAGGATCTCTATTCCAACATTGACAAAGACTCCAGCCACGCAAGTCATAACACTGTTCTGTCTGCTACCACATGGCAAGCGGTACCGATGCACCCAGTCTGGAACCAACAGGACCCTGAACAGCTTCTACCCCCAAGCCATAAGACTGCTAAATAGATAAAGATGTGCTATGCAGAAATCGCTCCGCCATTTCCAGTCTGTTAATTTCTTGCATGGAATAGCATTCATTTCTCAGAACAAGAATAGACTGACGAGTTTCAGAAGAAAGTTATTTGTTTCTGGCCATTTTGAGCCTGTAATCGAACCCACAATTGCTGATGCTCCAGATACTCAACTAGTCTCAAATAGGCCAGTTTTATTGCTTCTTTAATCTGCACAACAGTTTTCAGCTGTGCTAACATAATTGCAAAAGGGTTTTCTAATGATCAATTAGCCTTTTAAAATAATAAACTTCGATTAGCAAACACAACATGCCATTGGAACACAGGACTGATGGTTGCTGATAAATGTAGATATTCCATTAAAAATCAGCCTTCTCAAGCTACAATAGCCATTTACAACATTAACAATGTCTACACTGTATTTCTGATCAATTTGATGTTATTTTAATGGACCCAAAAATTGCTTTTCTTTAGAAAACAAAGACATTTCTAAGTGACCCCAAACTTTTGAACGGTATTGTCCATATTTACCACAATACCTCGTACACCTGCACATTGGCTCAGTACTGGTACCCCATGTATATAGCCAGGTTATTGTTACTCATCGTGCATTTATTCATTCCGATCTCCTCTGCATTATTGTAGCCATTTGCTACAGCCTGTCAACTATGCCTCTGCCTATCCCTGTTCTCTCCTCTCCGCACAGGCTACACAAACGCCTCACACCGCGTGGCTGCTGCCTCTCTAATCTGGTGGTCCCTGCACGCACCCCACACCTGGAGTTCCAGGTCTCAGGCAGTCTCTGGAACTGCCGTTCTGCTGCCAACAAGAATGACTTCATCCCAGCCTATGCTACCCTCCAGTCCCTCGACTTCCTGGCGCTGACGGAAACATGGATTACCACTGAAAACACTGCTACTCCTACTGCTCTCTCCTCGTCTGACCATGTGTTCTCGCATACCCCGAGAGCATCTGGTCAAAGGGGTGGTGGCACAGGAATCCTCATCTCTCCCAAGTGGACATTCTCAATTTTTCCCCTAACCCATCTGTCTATCTCCTCATTTGAATTCCATGCTGTCACAGTCACTAGCCCATTTAAGCTTAATATCCTTGTCATCTATCGCCCTCCAGGTTCCCTTGGAGAGTTCATCAATGAGCTTGACGCCTTGATAAGTTCCTTTCCTGAGGATGGCTCACCCCTCACAGTTTTGGGGGATTTCAACCTCCTTACGTCTACATTTGACTCATTTCTCTCTGCCTCCTTCTTTCCACTCCTCTCCTCTTTTGACCTCACCCTCTCACCGTCCCCCCCTACTCACAAGGCAGGCAATACGCTTGACCTCATCTTTACTAGATGCTGCTCTTCTACTAATCTCACTGCAACTCCCCTCCATGTCTCCGACCACTACTTTGTATCCTTTTCTCTCTCGCTCTCCTCCAACACTACTCACTCTGCCCCTACACAGATGGTAATGCACCGCCGCAACCTTCGCTCTCTCTCTCCCACTACTCTCTCCTCTTCCATCCTATCATCTCTTCCCTCTGCTCAATCCTTCTCCCTCCAATCTCCTGATTCTGCCTCCTCAACCCTCCTCTCCTCCCTTTCTGCATCCTTTGACTCTCTGTGTCCCCTATCCTCCCGGCCGGCTCGGTCCTCCCCTCCAGCTCCGTGGCTTGATGACTCATTGCGAGCTCACAGAACAGAGCTCCGGGCAGCGGAGCGGAAATGGAAGAAAACTAAACTCCCTGCCGACCTGGCATCTTTTCACTCCCTCCTCTCTACATTTTCTTCATCTGTTTCTGCTGCTAAGGCCACTTTCTACCACTCTAAATTCCAAGCATCTGCCTCTAACCCTAGGAAGCTCTTTGCCACATTCTCCTCCCTGCTGAATACCCCCCCCCCCCCCCCCCCCCCCCCCCCCCTCCTCCTCTCTCTCTGTGGATGACTTCGTCAACCACTTTGAAAAGAAGGTTGACGACATCCGATCCTCGTTTGTTAAGTCTAATGACACTGCTGGTCCTGCTCACACTGCCCTACCCTATGCTTTGACTTCTTTCTCCCCTCTCTCTCCAGATAAAATCTTGCGACTTGTGACTGCAGGCCGCCCAACAACCTGCCCGCTTGACCCCATTCCCTCCTCTCTTCTCCAGACCATCTCCGGTGACCTTCTCCCCTACCTCACCTCGCTGATCAACTCATCCTTGACCGCTGGCTATGTCCCTTCCGTCTTCAAGAGAGCGAGAGTTGCACCCCTTCTCAAAAAACCAACACTCGATCCCACTGATGTCAACAACTACAGACCAGTATCCCTTCTTTCTTTTCTTTCCAAAACTATTGAGCGTGCCGTCTTTAGCCAACTCTCTTGCTATCTCTCTCAGAATGACCTTCTTGATCCAAACCAGTCAGGTTTCAGGACTGGTCATTAAACGGAGACTGCTCTTCTCTGTGTCACGGAGGCTCTCCGCACTGCTAAAGCTAACTCTCTCTCCTCTGCTCTTGTCCTTCTAGACCTGTCTGCTGCCTTTGATACTGTGAACCATCAGATCCTCCTCTCCACCCTCTCCGAGCTGGGCATCTCCGGCGCGGCTCACTCCTGGATCGCGTCCTACCTGACCGGTCGCTCCTACCAAGTGGCGTGGTGAGAAGCTGTCTCCGCACCACGTGCTCTCACCACTGGTGTCCCCCAGGGCTCAGTTCTAGGCCCTCTCCTATTCTCCCTATACACCAAGTCACTTGGCTCTGTCATATCCTCACATGGCCTCTCCTATCATTGTTACGCTGACGATACACAACTAATCTTCTCCTTTCCCCCTTCTGATAACCAGGTGGCGAATCGCATCTCTGCATGTCTGGCAGACATATCAGTATGGATGACGGATCACCACCTCAAGCTGAACCTTGGCAAGACTGAGCTGCTCTTCCTCCCGGGGAAGGACTGCCCGTTCCATGATCTCGCCATCACGGTTGACAACTCCGTTGTGTCCTCCTCCCAGAGTGCGAAGAGCCTTGGCGTGACCCTGGACAACACCCTGTCGTTCTCCGCTAACATCAAGGCGGTGACCCGATCCTGCAGGTTCATGCTCTACAACATTCGGAGAGTACGACCCTGCCTTACACAGGAAGCGGCACAGGTCCTAATCCAGGCACTTGTCATCTCCCGTCTGGATTACTGCAACTCGCTGTTGGCTGGGCTCCCTGCCTGTGCCATTAAACCCCTACAACTCATCCAGAATGCCGCAGCCCGTCTGGTGTTCAACCTTCCCAAGTTCTCTCACGTCACCCCGCTCCTCCGCACACTCCACTGGCTTCCAGTTGAAGCTCGCATCTGTTACAAGACCATGGTGCTTGCCTATGGAGCTGTGAGGGGATCGGCACCTCTGTACCTTCAGGCTCTGATCAGTCCCTACATCCAAACGAGGGCATTGCGTTCATCCACCTCTGGCCTGCTGGCTCCCCTTCCTCTGCGGAAGCATAGTTCCCGCTCAGCCCAGTCAAAACTGTTCGCTGCTCTGGCACCCCAATGGTGGAACAAGCTCCCTCACGACGCC